ATGGTTACATCTTTGTTAAATCTGAAAATAATTATGATTTTAAAATATAAATTTGATGGTAATATACTATGACATATGAACGAAGGATATTACTGTTAAAATTTTATAAAAATCTTGTTAAACAGTTTAAAATACACCGCACATTACTATTTAGGGTCAGCTGACAATTAAAAATTTGTTTTTTTTTACCTTAAAATCATCAAAATGTTTTGTCCAAACTCGATCATGAAAAATATGTGAATTAAATCATTTCAATTGATTTCTTGTTGTAAAAATGGCTAAATAACAATATAGGATCAACTGGGGTAATAGTAAACAAGGGATTATTGTAAACGCGCCAATAATTTTTGAATTTGGCGGGTTTATAGTTTTCTTCCACACAGTGCAAGATGCCACCTCGGGTTAGACGTTTAAGGTAACAAAAAATTCATTTCAAGGAGTTGCAAGGCGAAAAATATTCTAAATATTCTAAAATGTGTTTTAGAGGGTTAAAAATGGTGAAAAAAAAAAGGAAAAATTGAAATGGGTACATTAAGTCTCTAATTTGATGTAATTTAAATGCAACCTTAAAATATTAAATGTAGGTATCAGCTTTGCGTTAAAACTGTTATGCACTTCAAATCAACGTTAAAAATTAAAGATTCATTTTAAAGGAATCCCTTTAAATATTGACAATAGTGAGTTAGTGAATATGAAAATATTTTTGAAGACCGTCATTAGTTTAACAGCTGTTAAAATATAAAGGAATTGTTACAGAACAGACCTATTAGTCTTTTTAATTATAGAACAAATATTTTTTATGCGAATATTTATATTAATAATGAATTTTTTTTCTTTCTAAATTCTAAGCCTTGCAAAATCCGACTAGTGTAGAAATTTCGAGGCCGCACCCATTCCCGTCTCTACTTCTAGCCATGAACAACACATAATCTGTGTTTGAAAGCATTATTATGTTTTTTTTTTTTTAGTCAAAATCAAATAACTGAAAAAATTTTAGGTAGCAGTTATTTAATGAACAATTACTTTATTATCTTCTGTATTATTTCCATAAAAAGTAATTTAATATGTTGAGTTGACATTGTTTGTTATTGCTAAAATGAATGATATATTTTGAACCCATCAAAAGGTTACGAACATTCAATGGATGGTATCAATATCCGCCAAAGCTCCTAATAATTTTTTTTAGAGAACTTTCTGAGGTTGCAAATTTTAAGTTCTAATTCAAAAAATACTTTTAGATCAGGAGATGTTATAATTAATTGTAATATAATTAGGAAAATTAGGGAGAAATTTTGGGTCGAACGCTTTTCCGGAAAAACTTTGCTTAAGAGAGGAGATAGAGCAAAAAGATCTTAATAAGAATTATCCGGATCGACGAGACATCAGGGTTTTTATAATAGAGGGAAGAGGAAATTAAAAAAAAATAAAATTTTAACGTTTTTTTTTCAGAAATTTATAACAAATTCAAGATTAATTTATTTTTAAAATCTTCCTACCGAATGGTATAAGAAAAACTGAAATTCAACTACGGTAAAAGTGTTTTCCACGAATTTTCCGGCTAAACCAACTATTTTTTCGATAGAAAATTTTGAATTTCTGTAAATTTCCTTTCGATTGAATTAAATAAAAATAACATTTTTTTGTTTACCGAATTTTTCGATTTTCCCGACAATTTTTCTGACACTAAAAATTAACGTGTACTATTTGACGTTCTTCAAAATCTGACATCGAAATTTTCCCGCAATTCTAACACATTTCCCAGGAAAATTAGGGGAAATTTTGGATCAAACGCTTTTCCGGGAAAAACTGTGCTTAAAAGAAGAGATAGAGCAAAAAGTCTTAGAAAAGAATTATCTGGCTAGATGAGACGCGTCGATTGATATATCACATGATAGGGGAAAGGAAAAATAAAAAACCGTTCAATTTTCGCGTTTTTTTTCAGAAATTTTTAAAAAAATTCATGGTAAACTTATTTTAAAATCTCCCAACACAATGGTATAGGAAAATTTGAAATTCAACTAAGTTAAATACCAATTTTCGATAGGGAATTTTGGATTTCGTTTAAAGAAAATAAAAAAAATCTTGTTTACCGAATTTTCCGATTTTCCCGACGTTTTTTCCGAAAAAATTATAAATTTTCGTGTACTATTCGACATTCCTCACAACCTTGCATTGAAATTTTCCTGCTAACTCATACAAATTTCCGAGGAAAATTAGAGGAAACCTTAGGTCGAACGCTTTTCCGGGAAAACATTTGTTTATAAGGGAAGATAGAGCAAAAAGATCTTAAGAAGATGTGTCAAAAACATTTTTGCTTCTTTTAGATTTTTTACACATTCAAGTTTTCTCTATAATTACGTCAGAAAATTTTAAATTTTTCTTCGGGAAAAGGTTTTTCACCAATTTTCCGACTAGACCAAATTTTTTTTCGATGGCGAATTTCCTTTGGTTTGGAGAAAATGGAAAAAATTTATTTGCTTTTGTTTCAAGACTTTTCCGAATTTTCTGACGATTTTCCGAAAAAAACAAAAAATCGCAAATATTACTTGTTGTTTCTCATCTGGCGTTGAAATTTTCCAAATCCTACAAACACATTTTCCCGGAAAATTTTAAAGCAAACGCTTTTCCGGAAAAACATCGATTGAAAGAGGAAATAGAGCCGTGAATTCTTTTGAAAAATTCGTAACTGTATTAATTTGTTATTTTTACGAGAAAATTATATAATTATTATTTTATTGGTTAATGCGATACCGATTATATCAACTAGGAGTGGGTAAAATAATCGATTAGTCGATTTTTTAAATCGATTATTTTCTGTTAATCGTTTATTTTCTTTTAATCGATTATTCGATTATTTTATCGATTATTTTTGATTAGTCGATTATTTTCTATTAATCAATTATTTTAAAATAATCAATTATTTTCAATTAATCGATTATATTGAAATATTCTATTAAACGATTATTTTTGAATAATCGATTATTTTCTATTAATTAATTATTCGATTATTTTCTATTAATCGATTATTTAGAATAATCGGTTATTTTGATTTATCGATTATGTTCGATTAATCGATATTTGAATATTCTATTAATCGATTATTTTTGGTTAATCGATTATTTTAAAATAATCAATTATTTTCGATTAATCGATTATTTTAAATTAATCGATTACTTTCTATTAATCGATTCTTTTAAATTAATCGATTATTTTCTATTAATCAATTATTTCGATTAGTCGGTTATTTTGATTTATCGATTATGTTCGATTAATCGATATTTGAATATTTTATTAATCGATTATTTTTTATTATTCGATTATTTTAAATTAATCGATTATTCGATTATTTTAAATTAATCGATTATTTTAAATTATTTGATTATTTTCTATTGATCGATTATTTTAAATTAATCGATTATTTCGATTAATCGGTTATTTTGATTTATCGATGATGTTCGATTAATCGATATTTGAATATTCTATTAATCGATTATTATTGGTTAATCGATTATTTTAAAATAATTAATTATTTTCAATTAATCGATTACGTTCGATTAATCCATTGGTTTCGATTAATTTCGTTTAACCGATTATTTTCTATTAATCGATTACTATAATAAATCGATTAATTCGATTTATTGAATATTTTTTATATCGATTATTTCCATTAATCGATTATTTCGATTAATAGATTATTTCGGTTAATCGATTGAATCGATTATTAAGATTAATCGATTATTTCTATTAATCGATTATTTTGATAAATCGATTAATTATTTTGATACTCTCCCAACCATAATCTCGACCTGTTCACGTAAAAATTTCGTAACAATCTGGATTACTTTTTGACTTTTACATGCGTTGCCAAATTTATTAAAATTAATAAAATTTCGTATTTTTATGACTCATTGTTGACTTTATTTTGTTGCTAGAGATATGGAGATTTTTAGATTAATGTTTTGTGGTGCATTGAATTAGTAAAAAAATTAGCTTTCAAATGAAGTGTCACAAGCTAGAGGACGCTAAAATCAAAATAACGCAATTTTTAATGGTCATATAGCCGAATTCTCTATCATATTATCTTTTCAATGATGTCTAATCCTCAGGGGTGGGCCAAATAATCGATTCGATTATTTTTATTAATCGATTATTTTGATTAATAGATGAATTCGATTAATCGACTATATCGATTAAACGATTAATTCATTAATTCGATTAATCGATAAATCGATTATATTATAGATTATTCCGAAGAATCGATTATTTTGATTAAGCGATTATTTCGACTAATCGATTATTTAGATTAATCAATTATGAATTCGATTAACAATTAAACGATAAATTCGATTATTTCGATTAATCAATGAATTCGATTATTTTAGATTAATCGATTATTTTAAATAATCGATTATTTATTTTAATAATAGCCTAACCCTACTAATTTTTACTTTGTTAAGATTTTTTCCTCTGATTAGAGGCAAAATATGTTTTTTTTTAAATTACACTGCTTTATTAGACTGGACCAAAAAAAATCTATATTTTTTTGAAAAATATATCGATAATGTCATTCAGGATGACAGAAAAAAATTCTTGAAAATTTGAACCCTTAAATATTAATTTTAAGAGTTCTATCATCGCTATTTTTGATTTTTAGTCATAATTTGATGTTTTACGTTAGAACTGTCAAAACATTAAAGTGAAAATAATTCTTTTTCACTTATTTTTATATAAAATTAAATTCTCTACAAAAAAGGTCTGATTGAAAATTTTCGTCAGACGAGCCGTTTCCGAGTAATTGAGCTTAATAGATCGATGTGTTTTTTCGATTTGTCCTTTTTACTTTGAAATTTTATAACTAATGAATCGATGAATATTTAAAAAAGCTCACGTCGGATTCTTAAAGGAAATTTAATGTTCTACAAAAAAGGTTTCTTAAAATTTTTGCTTAAACTTAATTCTTCAAAAGTTATTCACGATTAAAATCGAAGAAAAAATTGAAATTTTATGTAGAGAATTTAATTTTATATAAAAATAAGTGAAAAGGAATTTTTTTCATTTTAATGTTTTGATAGTTCTAACGTAAAACATCAAATTATGACTAAAAATCAAAAATAGCGATGATAGACTTTTTAAAATAAGGATTAAGGGCTCAAATTTTCACGAATTTTTTTTTGTCATCCTGAACGAGCTTCTCGATATATTAAAAAAAAAAATAGTCATTTTTTTTTGGTTCAGTCTATGCTTTATGTCATGGTTATGACTCTAGAGAATATTCAACATACCTTTATATAAAAAAAACATTAGTTAATATTTTTTTAGAATAAAATGTGTGCTATACTTATTAAATTTATTTTTCGAATTAAAAATTTATTATTTTAAATATCATATTTTAAAAATATTTAAGCAAATAATATTGGACGTTTAAAAACGATTATCCTGTATATTTGTTCATGAATTTTTTTTTTTTTTTACTTTAACACCCATCATCAATTATTGTTTGACGTAACATTCTTCACAAATATTCGATCAAAAAAACTGAAATAAAATTAGGATTATCATAAGTTTTAATTCTAACTACTAACACTTACACACTAGTGATATAGAATGGTAATAATATAAATTACCAAAGACATTTATTTTGAGCAATTTTTAAGAAAGTGATGGTAATTTATTGACTTTTAACTAATTAAGTATTTTTAATTTGACATTTTGACGTACAAAAATTATTTAGAATAACCACAATACCCTTTTTAAAATGATTAGTGAGTCAAATATTCTGCTATTTTAAAATACATTTGTGAATTTGCTCAAAATTTTCCTGTAAATTACTTTATCCAGTCTGTACAAATTATAAATGAAATTATTTGCATGCTATTTGAGCTGAAAGTATTAATTTTGGTTCTGGTGTATACACATATAAGTTAGGTACATATTTGTAAAATATTTTGGTAGGTAACTAAAATCTAAAAATCGAATAAAATTAATTTTAATCTTAATAAAATTATATCAACATAAATAACATTACTTATACTTACAAAAATACTCTAATAAAAGAAAACAAATAACTTACAAAAAAAAATTAATACATGAATAAATGCAATCTCTTTCTAATGGCACAAATCATTTACACAAAATAACATTAAATTTATTAATAATAATAATAAGTTTTGAGACTAAAAATGTTTAAATGTGTATTATAATTTTTGTACAATGTTGACAAATTCAGCGGTTTAAAATGTGCGCGTATTTTCAACATATTGTGCATTTCATTTTGATAAAAAACATTAAATGTAAAGTAATGAACCGACTTCATCTTTAGCCGTTCAAATAATGAAGCACAAAGCTACGTATTGATTTTTTACAATCTAATAATTATTCAACAAAAAAAAAAGAACACATTTTCAACATCTCACTCAACTTTGGTACAGTTCTGTGCTACCTCAAGATGTCCAACCGTTCAACAAAATCAAATGTTAAAAGCTGGAGACGTCGAGGTGTTCCAAGAAAGAAAAATATATATACGGTGTGTATCACCTTGTCATTGTGAGAAAGGATATAATTACATGATGATTAATAGAGGCCGCAGTTGCGTAGGTTATTTGCGATGATGACATCGGTGACTGCGTCGAAGACGAATTGAATGTTATGCGTGTCAGTAGCGCATGTCATATGGCAGTAGATTTCTTTGGTTGTTGATTTATTTTTCGCCTCGAATTGTGCTTGAATGTACGCCGCTGCTTCGCCATATTCTTGCGCACCTAATGCAATAATATTAATCAATCATTTATTTCAGAAAATAGGACGTGTTTTTATATCACTAGTATTATTATTATAATTAAAGGATTATAGGGTTTTATTCAAAATAAATCAAGAAAACTTGATAAATTACCCTACTAATATACAGGGTGTTTTTTAAACATGCCGCAAACATTCAAGGGGTTGTTCCTATTATAAATAAATCGATAATTAAGGGGGGAAACGGGGGGTGAGAGTCTGTATGAGACTTTCGGTTTTTTAAAGGTAGGAACTTGAAAATTGGAAATATTAGTAAATAATAACGTATTTCAATGATTTTGGATTTTCTTATTTTAAGACCTTCCAGACTACATAAAATCATAAGTGTTACATATGGTTGAACTCTATTGAATAGGAGATTCCAATAATGACTGAATATACAGGGTGATGAATTTGAAAAACCAAAGTGACTAATAATTTAAGAGAAACCGCAAATCTGGCAACATTGCAAATATCAAATCTAGAATCATCGTATCCCAAAATAGGTGTACCCCAAATTTTGTACAATTAGGACCACAGCTATTTACGAGATAATTGGCCGTTTCCAGACTTTTGGGCCACTCTGAATAAATAAACAATAGATATAAAAAAAATAATAAAAATAAATAAAAATCATTAAAAAATAAAAATTAATTAAAAAAAATTAATAAAAAATAATAAAAATTATTAAAATTTAATAAAAATTATTAAAATTTGATAAAAATTAATAAAAATAATAAAATTAAATTTCAAAAATAATAAAAATTAATAAAAAGTAATGAAAATTAATAAAAATTAATAAAAATGAATAAAAATGAATAAAAATGAATAAAAATGAATAAAAATGAATAAAAATGAATAAAAATGAATAAAAATGAATAAAAATGAATAAAAATGAATAAAAATGAATAAAATTAAATAAAAATTAGTAAAAATGAAAAAGTGAATAAAAATGAATAAAAAATGAATAAAAATTAATAAAAATGAATAAAAATGAATAAAAATGAATAAAAATGAATAAAAATGAATAAAAATGAATAAAAATGAATAAAATTAAATAAAAATTAAATAAAAATTAGTAAAAATGAAAAAGTGAATAAAAATGAATAAAAAATGAATAAAAATTAATAAAAATGAATAAAAATGAATAAAAATGAATAAAAATGAATAAAAATGAATAAAAATGAATAAAAATGAATAAAAATGAATAAAATTGAATAAAAATGAATAAAAATGAATAAAAATGGGTAAAAATTAAAAAAATGAATAAAAATGAATAAAAATGAATAAAAATGAATAAAAATGAATAAAAATGAATAAAAATGAATAAAAATGAATAAAAATGAATAAAAATGAATAAAAATTAATAAAAATGAATAAAATTAAATAAAAATAAGTAAAAATGAATAAAAATTAATAAAAATAAATAAAACGAATAAAAATTAATAAAAATAATTAAAATTAATAAAAATTAAATTTCAAAAATAATAAAAACTAATAAAAAATAATAAAAATGAACAAAAATGAATAAAAATTAGTAAAAATTAATAAAAATGAGTAAAAATGAATAAAAATAAATAAAAATGAATAAAAATAAATAAAAATGAGTAAAAATGAATAAAAATAAATAAAAATTAATAAAACTAATAAAAATAAGTAAAAATGAGTAAAAATGAATAACAATGAATAAAATTGAATAAAAATGAATAAAAATGAATAAAAATATGAATAAAAAAGAATAAAAATAAACAATAGATATAAAAAAATGATTAAAAAATAAAAATTAATAAAAAACAAATTAAAATAAATAAAAATTAAGATAAAAAATAAAATAATATAAATAAGACTAAAAGTCAATATCACATAAATTACGAGCGACCGGTTCCCTTCAGAAAACAACTATTGTTTTGGCTAATACCGCAACCGGTATTGAATTATATCCAAAGGAAAGAAGGTAGAGATAGAAAATTAAATTTCAACACTCATTCTTGGACCGGTTTCGTCCTTATTAGGACAAATGCTACACATTTTACCAGTATACAATAAATTTAGTTACAAAGAGAGTAAGAATTTAAGTAGAGACTGGAATTGAGAACCTATCTATTTCTTGAGGAAGAGTCCTAATAAGTGAGCAAAATCAAAGGTATATACATAGAATGTTGAAATTTAATTTTCTATCTCTGTCGTCTTTCCTTTGGATATAATTCAATACCTGTTGCGGTATTAGCCAAAGGAGTAGTTGTTTTCTGAAGGGAAACGATCGCTCGTAATTTATGTAAAATTGGCTTTTAGTTTTATTTATTTTATTTTATTTTACGTCTTGATCACATTTGAGTTTGAAATATTTTTCTTTTTAAAAATTAAGATGTTTGTAAAGTAGGTCATGAAATCACGCATATCGGTGCATACAATTCTTTTTCTTTTTTTAAATGACTGTTACTATTTAATCTAGAGGCGTTCATAGTTATCCCACAGATGTGATTTGTATCTCTATCTTTGTTGATCATGTTCTTCTATCTTAGAAACAATTTTTGTGGATCAGTCGTTATACCGGGTGTTCAAATTAAAGTATTACAGCTGTAACACTTTAATTTGTTTTATTTGATGCGCGCCTATTTTTGAGTCTCAATAATAATATATAAAAGATACCAAAAAAATAAAAAGGGGAAAGTTTGGACAAATGAGAAACAAATTACCTGCATATTCAGGAAAGCATATCGTTAAAGGCGATTTCCTAATTTTTTCTTCGAATAGATCTTTTTTGTTGAGGAAGAGGATGATGGAGGTGTCTGTAAACCATTTGTTGTTACAGATAGAGTCGAAAAGTTTCAAACTTTCCTGCATACGATTCTGAAAAAAAAGATAAACACGCAAAATAAATCCCACATAAAATTCGTTTAAGAGCAAATCACACCTTTCGCGAAAACAAAAATGTTTTAAGGATTTTCAGGGAGAAAATTTTATTTATAAACGCGCCGTTGGGAATACTTCGTGATATTATGTTTCTCGAGATTATAGAAAGCTTTAAATTTGTGCAACGATTAAGACGATTAAGAAAAAAAGGTGGGAAATCCTCCCATTTAAAAACTATTAGATATTTATTAAAACCCAGAGCAGTAAATTTTTACAATTTAATGCAGAATGGCGCGCAAACATTTTTTATAAATTCCTTTCAATTTTTTTTTAAATAAATACTTTTTGAAGGTTTATAACAAAATCATAACGGAGTATGTACTTACTGTCGTTTCGTCTTCATGTAAAACTTGATCATATTCACTCATAGCTACACAAAATATAATCGCAGTCACATCCTCAAAACAATGTATCCATTTTTTTCTTTCCGACCTCTGTCCACCGACATCAAATAATCTGAAAAGAAACAAAATTTCAAAATTTAATATTAAGCAGATAATCAATATTCAAGTTGATATAGTTTTAACTAAAACAAAAGGCTTGTAAAAACTTTTTAAATCAAAGGAATTTAAGGAAAATTGACTAACACTACAGACGACCTGTTTGGAGCCAAAAGCCATTTTTCCCGTTGTAGTAAACTAGTCTAAGTCTTAAATAGACAGATAAGGAATCATGCAAGAGGAAACAGTAAAACAGGTGAAATTTGGAGCAGAAAATAAAGATAAAAACGAGTTTTTCCTAATAGAAAATGTATATACCTTAAAAAATATGGACTTACCAATACAATCAGTAAGTGCAAAAAGGATGAAAGATAAATCGATACATCTTAGAGAGGTAGAATTTGAAAATATGCAAAATGTGCAACCGAAGCTTTTAACAAGCCAGGATAACTAGGAGTTAATTAATAGAAGGCCCAAAGAACTCTTCAGCATTGTCACGCACTAAGTTAGGTTGGATGGTTCGTGAAAATTTAAGATAAACTAGAGGTAGAGTGGATAATACACTATTACATATTTCCAAAGAGTACAAAATATAACTATAAAAGAGAAGTCACTCGGGGCATTTACAAAGGAAATCGCGCTTCAAATGCCGGCCGACAAGTCGGCGTTTTTTCAAAGAGTACAGGGCTAATTTGGCTATACCAGGGTTAAGCGGTAAGACGCGGCGGCGATGATAGTGGAATGTAACGGCAAATACACCGCGGAATCTAACGTAGCGGAGCAAACGAGCCTTACGCATTGAACTACACCGGTATACTGCCGATCGAGAAAGGACTGTGGATGACTGGCGGCTGATCGCGTTAGAAGGCGGTAATTGGGTGAGTGACTCCTCTTTTATAGTTATATTTTGTACTCTTTGATATTTCTCATGAAAATAACCTAGAAACAGACTTACATGAACAGGTTAAAAATATATTTTTCCACTGAAGCTTTCGACGTTAAAATTTGCACAAAAGAAGAAATGTTTAACTCTGAAGAAAGAAAAGCAGTAGATATGATGCAACCGGTTTACTTTGGAAAGAAGGAACCAGGGAGTTGCCAATGGCCTTTCAAAGATTGAAATGTATATAAAGAAAAATGATCACAGATTCTAAATGTTCAAAGCAATATAAGATGAAAATTGAAGAATATGTAGAAAATGTCACAGAGGAGGCAATAACGTTATTCATATTCATACAGAAGGAGGATTTGAATTAAGTGGATGGGTTTCCAAAGAAGCTTTTGAGAAAATTCCAGATAACCTCAGAAGAGATAGTAAGATTTTAGAAGACAAAGGTTTAAAATGGATCCCATCTTCATGTTTACTTATAGATTTTACTAAAATAGATAAAGATATTTTAAAAGGAAAAAGAATTCCTAAATGTTGGAGAGTTATAATGTCATTGTTTGATCCTTTAGGACTATTAGGTCATCATAAAAACAAAAATACTATTATTAAGATCATATTAAGATCATATCATATTAAGATCATATTAAGATCATATTAAGATCATATTAAGATCATATTAAGATCATATTAAGATCATATTAAGATCATATTAAGATCATATTAAGATCATATTAAGATCATATTAAGATCATATGTCCTGAGATTTATAGCAAAAATGAAAAGAGAAATGACAGGAAATCTTACAGTAACCAAGGAAGAAATATACAAAGCAGAAATAATATGGTGTATGAAAGTGCAACAAGATTGTTTTAAAGAAGAGTTACATTAATTGAAAAATTATAAACATGTACCTAAAGGTAGTAAACTTTTCAAATTATCACCCTATATACAAGTCGGTTTATTATGTTTAAGAGGAAAAATAGATAATGCTTCAGATTTACCTTACGACACTAAATTGCGTCAACTCAATTCATTATTATTGCCATCTTGTATCGGTTAGATGTAAATAAGAATTAACTACAGAAACTCAACCACAAAATAAACTAATCTTTGTAAAATTGATTTAGTTCTATTTTCACAAGGAAGGAAAAGCAAAAAACTATTCGGACGTAAAATAGTCATGGAAGCAAAATGTAACGTACTGTGTATGTTATCGGACGCAGAATACTGCTAAAAATGTAAATATATGTATAAGATTTCTAAACGCATTAAGAGTGAAAAAGTATTTCTAAATGTTCGAGATAAATTCACAACCATTACAGGAAAATCTGAAGTATTTTCCAACAAATTCCATCATAAATGTACCTTCCAATTCGATTGTTTTTCACAGAATATCACTCCCAATCAAAACGGTTATGAAACTTCTATGGAATCTCGTCGTCAATAAACTTGTTTGTCATAATAATAGTCCACCGGATCTTTTGTCCCTATTTTCAAACGCCTTATACCCACTCTCGTTGTTTTCCAAGCAGCTGGAAAAGTGCTTCATCGGGGTGATGGAAAGAATATCGAAAATTACTTCCAAGAATAAAAATTATTCTTTGATTGGAGTGTATTATGTAGAAAAAAAGGGAATGATAGAATGTCATATTCAAAATACAAATAACTCTCGATCCCAGTGGCGCATCCAGAGTTTAAGTCTGGGGAAGGGTAGTGGTGATATTTAATACCTTATTTTTGATAATAATACATTTTAGTACTTATAAAAATTCTTGAGGAACTTCATTACCCCTATTACCCCCCCGTATATGCGCCCCTGCTTGATTCAAGTATAAGAGTATTTTTAAATACCATGTACATACGATAAGTTAGCTTATTTTTTACAAACATATGTCCCCAAACACTTAGTTACCGATCTACAGGGTGTTGAAATTTCAACATTCTTTTTTGTTTATAGCTCTTGCAGTTTTTGTTATATTTAGTTCAAATTTGTAATGTAGATTGCGCTGTAGGGCTTACATCATTGGGCATGACAAATGGTGATATTTTTTTAGGGGATAAAACAATGAATCCCAAACTGAACTTTTCAGTTGACGATGGAAGATGAAAAGTTTTATTGAAGTTGTAGCAAAATACCCTGCTAATTATGACATGCAACATGCTGTATGTAGAAAGGTAAGCTTGAAAAATTGACAGATGGAACAAGTTTCTGTTGTAAGAAAGTTATAAGAAGTACTTTTCTAAATTAAATATTTTACTAATAATTTATCCAGTGTTTACTTACTTGAAATTAAGGTTTTTAAACGAAAAGTGTACTTCAACTATACCCGTAGTTTTCACTCTTGTTCTTAATATATCTTGTTCCGTAGGTTGGTAATCCTTCGCTCCTAGCCGATCTAAGTCATCTAAGAAACTGAAAAAAAAAAAAGAAATTAGTTAGGTTTTGAAAATAATCATTATTTTTTTCATATCCCCCTGCCGACCTCTTGAGCGTCGCAGGATAATTCCTAAGTTAAACTGATAACTGATAACATGAAATTCTTTTCATATGAACCTGGGTTCAAAAATGCATACATAGTTTTTATCATTCTATCATTTTACCAACGTTACATTGTGCTTTTTCCATCAATTTGGCGTCACAAAACGTTATGGCGTCCGTATATCGACGCCACTTTGTTTTTACCTAATAAATTTTGTTGAGAGTGCGATAGACATACCGTTTCCATCGCATTAGAACTGAATGTGACTGCATTTTATTAGCTCAAAATACTATCTACGTATCTCTGTTTTATTTAGAGTAATTTACACTTTTGGTGTGTGTCAAAATAAAAATTATGAAATAATACCAGAAATGGAAAGGTAGAAAAATGAAGTACCCGTTAAGGCAGAAGCCATCTGGTATACAGGCAGCTTAAAAATAAAAGAAGGGATCGGAGCTAGTACATAGGAGAAAATACGTGTTACGTTTGGTATGTGGTAAATATATATTAAACGAACAAGTTGTATTGAAATGGCTTTAATTATTAATACCAGACATACAAGTTAATGGCGGTAGTGCATCCGCTTCAACTGTTACGTCACTAATGACACTGTAACCAGTGACAGTTGTTGCCAACTTAGCAGTAGTTACCAACTTACTATATAAAGGTAGCTTCACATAACAATACGGAGGATCTTAATTTCAATTAGTTTAACAAGTACTCCAAATTTAAGTAACTTAGCTTAATAGCCATTTTATTCGACATGCGATAGTCAAACAATCCTAAAGACACAAAGTTTAGTTACTTCAAAGTTATATGAGAGTTAGTACAAGATTGTGTGTGCTCTGAATAGACTGGATGACCGCCAAAATATTACTTTAGCCTCCTGAACCCGACGGCTATTTGGGAAATGAAAATTTAGACGAAATAGTTAAGTTAGGCTAGAAAATACACTTTATAGGTTTAAAATCATCCTGTAACATTTCAAAAACCATCATAAAACGATCCATCAAAATACACAATTTCTCAAAGAACAATCGCCCATATTTACAATAGCAATCAAAGGAGAAGTGGATTCGTTTTTCGTTAAGATAATAAATATTATGAACATCACTGGTTTAGCAGGAAGAGCTCAATTCAATTCTGCCAAATACATCAAACGATCGATTTAAGGACACGTTCTCTCAGTGCGATAGCCTGGCTAGAATGTAGTATCTGGTATTGGCATCAGAAAAGCCCACGGCCAAAGGATATATGAAGGGATCGCTCGTGAGGCTAATAAGAAGGAATGTGAAAGATAAAGAGACACGCAGAACTTTGATATTAGTTAGAAGGTTAATTCCAACAATTTAAAAATTTTATCTGGATTTTCGTGCTAAATATTGGTTTTGGTCATTTTGATAAAGTAAGGTTTATCCGCGAAATCGCGCCATTTTAAAGACCTAAAAAACATATTTGGAGGTCTTGCTATGTAATGATTTATTATGTTTTTGAATTATTATAATGTATTGAATCATTCATACTAAAAATTATACCTGGATTTTCGTGCTAAATATTGGTTTTTGTCATTTTGATAAAGTAATGTTTATCCGCGGAATCGCGCCATTTTAAAGACCTAAAAAACGTATTTGGAGGTCTTGCTATGTAATGATTTATTATGTTTTTGAATTATTATAATGTATTGAATCATTCATACTAAAAATTATACCTGGATTTTCGTGCTAAATATTGGTTTTTGTCATTTTGATAAAGTAATGTTTATCCGCGGAATCGCGCCATTTTAAAGACCTAAAAACCGTATTTGGAGGTCTTGCTATGTAATGATTTATTATTTTTTTGAATTATAATATTGTATTGAATCATTCATACTAAAAATTATACCTGTATTTTCGTGATAAATATTGGTTTTGGTCATTTTGATAAAGTAAGGTTTATCCGCGAAATCGCGCCATTTTAAAGACCTAAAAAACATATTTGGAGGTCTTGCTATGTAATGATTTATTATGTTTTTGAATTATTATAATGTATTGAATCATTCATACTAAAAATTATACCTGGATTTTCGTGCTAAATATTGGTTTTTGTCATTTTGATAAAGTAATGTTTATCCGCGGAATCGCGCCATTTTAAAGACCTAAAAAACGTATTTGGAGGTCTTGCTATGTAATGATTTATTATGTTTTTGAATTATTATAATGTATTGAATCATTCATACTAAAAATTATACCTGGATTTTCGTGCTAAATATTGGTTTTTGTCATTTTGATAAAGTAATGTTTATCCGCGGAATCGCGCCATTTTAAAGACCTAAAAACCGTATTTGGAGGTCTTGCTATGTAATGATTTATTATTTTTTTGAATTATAATATTGTATTGAATCATTCATACTAAAAATTATACCTGTATTTTCGTGATAAATATTGGTTTTTGTCATTTTGATAAAGTAAGGTTATTTCGCGGAACCGCTCTTTACAAAAGACCTAAAAAACGTATTTACAGGTCTTGCTATGTAATGATTTATTATTTTTTTTAATTATACTAATGTATGGAGTCATTCATATTAAAAATTTTATCTGAATTTTCGTGTTAAATATTGGTTTTTGTCATTTTGATAAAGTAAGGTTTATCCGCGAAATCGCGCTATTTTAAAGACCTAAAAAACGTATTTGGAGGTCTTGCTATGTAATGATTTATTGTGTTTTTGAATTATACTAATCTATTGAATCATTCGTATTAAAAATTATATCTAGAATTTCGTGCTAAATATTGGTTTTTGATATTTTGGTAGAATAATGTTTTTCCGCGAAACCACGCATTTTTAAAGATCTAAAAAATGTAATTAGAGGTCTTGCTATTTAATGATTTTTTATTTATTTTATAGCTAGTGGTGTACTAAATTATTGGTATAAAAATTGTATTTGTAATCTCGTGCTAAATGTGTTTTTTTGGACTCTTAATTCTTATAGTCGATGAACGACAAAACAACTGACTTTAAAGACCAAAAAATATATTTTAAATCATTGTTCGGCCATAATTTTTTGTTTATTCAATTAACAAAAACTTAATGAATATTTGGTATAAAAATTATATTTATAATCGCATTGTAAATGTGTTCGTTTCTTCCCCGTCTTTGTGTAAGATTATTTTATTTTAATTAATAATTCAAATTGAATTAATCCATTTTTTTCAATAAATACACTAATATTTATTTATTTCTAAACTTTCATGATACTAAAGTCCACTTAAACCAAAGATTTTGCCGAATAACAACATCAAAACATTTGGGGACCGCCGCGCGGTTTGTCTGCTAGCTTCAGCCTCATAAATTTTTTTGTTTGATTTTTTCCTTCCTTTAAATTCATCATCACCTTCTCCACTTCCCATAATTGTTTTGTTTTTTCTCCTTTGCCATCTTGTTGCTGTGATATAATCATTCTCATGACTCCCCTCATTGGCATCATCTGCTAGATTTATTATTTCATTAGTTTTTTGTAGGATTTGAATTTTCATTAATTCTAATGCAACTTGTTTCCTTTGGAGGAATGAGTCATTCTGTACAGGGGCATTCCTATAATCGCTTGTGTTTTTGTTTGGTATTAAATGTTTATTTCCAACAGGTATACACACAATTTCAGTTTTTGTTTGTTTTGGTTTTTCTATAAAAACTGATCTTTTATTATCAATGATAGATAAGTTTTGATTTTTATTGTCAACTTTTATAAATTTAGGATTTACTTCGTTATATTGTGTTTGCAGATCAGAATATTTCCTTTTTTCATTTTTCAGTTCAACTTTTAAGATTTCTATTTTTTCACTCATTAATTGGTTTGCTAGTTTTTGTTCTTCTACTAGTAATTTTAAAAAGTTGTAAGCATCAATGCAAAATACATCACCTTTACTTTTTTCTTGATCCATAGTCTTAGATTTTTCAATAACTTTTGGTTTACAGCATCTTATAGCATTTACTCTTTGTGCACACGATGGATGATATTTCAAGTCACATATTTCACATTTTACATTAGCAGTTACTGATTTTTTACAATAATTACACTAATAATTTCACCTACTGTATATTTTAAATGTTGCTTTCAGTTTGTCTGTTTTGTTTTATGAAATATGTGGATACCTAATTTGTAAACAACTTAAGTACTACTTGTTAATTCCATTATGTAATTAAGAACGAAATGGACTACTTGTATGAGAGTGAACAAATCACCAATAGAATGTTATTATTTTATATTTGATGGCTATTAATAATATTTTTTTCCGCAAAAGAATGATTGGGTTAATAAATAATCAATTAAAATACAATATTTATTAAATTTCTCTTTTTCAGAAAAAAAAAACAGTATGGGGTTCTTAGTTCGTAACATTTTTATTGCTATTATACCAATTACTTTTATTAAACACAAATAAAAATAAAAGTTAAGTATTATTATATATTTTTTTACACCCACATGGATATTATTTATTCTACGCACAGACTACAGAACGAAATCAAAAGTAGGCCATTAAATATATTTCATGTCAATTTTAGTAATATGAATATGAAATCCACCAATCACAGTTTTATTTTTGAATATGAACAGGCACAAGGCGTGATACATCCCCACGTACCAGAGGAAAGTAATTTTGAGTAGCCGCCAAAATCAGATTACGAATGATTTGGGCAAGGGACGGACTCGGAGAGATTGTAGCATTATAACTCAAAAAAAAAAAATCGTTTTAAGAAATGAATAATGTTTCATAAAAAATAAATAATGTTAAAACTTACTATTTGGCGGAATCGTTGAGCTGGTACTCGTTGGAACGACCAAAGCACTCTTGAACTCCCGAATCAGTCCATAACCTTTTCATCGCAGCTAAAAGTTCTTCTGAGAACGGTTCAGTGTCTTCCATCCTCTGGATAACGTCGAACACCATTTTGCCGTCAATCTATAAACCAAAAATAATTGATGCTTTATTTCAAAATTGATCGTGTAAGAGTATGAGTATAAGAAAGAGTATAAGAGTATAAGAGTATAAGAGTATAAGAGTATAAGAGTATAAGAGTATAAGAGTATAAGAGTATAAGATTATAAGAGTATAAGAGTATAAGAGTATAAGAGTATAAGAGTATAAGAGTATAAGAGTATAAGAGTATAAGAGTATAGAGTATAAGAGTATAAGAGTATAAGAGTATAAGAGTATAAGAGTATAAGAGTATAAGAGTATAAGAGTATAATAGTATAAGAGTACAAGAGTACAAGAGTATAAGAGTATAAGAGTATAAGAGTATAAGAGTATAATAGTATAAGAGTACAAGAGTACAAGAGTATAAGAGTATAAGAGTATAAGAGTATAAGAGTATAAGAGTATAAGAGTATAAGAGTATAAGAGTATAAGAGTATAAGAGTATAAGAGTATAAGAGTATAAGAGTATAAGAGTATAAGAGTATAAGAGTATAAGAGTATAAGAGTATAAGAGTATAAGATTATAAGAGTATAAGAGTATACGAGTATAAGAGACTTTTTACTTCAAAAAAATCTAAATATTATTTTGAATTATTTTTTTATTTATTAAATAGCATTTCTTTTTAATTCATTTGATTTCGTACAACCAAAACAAAATTTTCAAATGAATGCACAAGAAATCCTTTATCAAATTTAAAAAACAGTCATTTTCTGTGCTTTGATTTTATATAATTACCTATTTATTAAAAATAATAAATAAATTTTATCTAACCATTATTATGATGAAATGGAAAACGATGTGATTTATGTTTCCAGGAAATATTGATAAAATAATATAATTATACCGATATATGCAGATAGCAGAATGTTTTATAGCGTTGCCAACCCTACAGATTATTCGGTATATTTATCAGAACTGGGTAATAATTACTTTTTTCATGTAATTTGTAATTATATATAAGTAATTTGGAATTGTAATTGCATCAAAATCTGTGGAGTCATTGTAATTTTATTATTTAAATTGTCTAAATACAATTACTTCTCATAAGTGCAATTACTTCTACAATTACAATTATTTTTTCTAATTACAATAATCTTTATAAGTACAATTTTACTTTTAAATGTGTGTTTACGAGATGCACGTGGTATAAAAATAAGAAATTTCCTGGTTACTCGTGCTCGGACTCGCATTCATCTCATGTGTGGATGCATTTGATGAAAGTGCTGTGCCGTGGAAAGAGCATCAGTGAAGTAGTGAAATTGAACCCAAAATAATAACAATAAGAGATAAGTAGATGTAGATACCTTTATTTTTAAGACGCATTTTGTATTTATATTATTATAAACTAAAATCGCACATTTTACAATTTTATATAAATATTTCGCCTCGGTGTAATAGGAAGGAACCCTTACGTGGGCGACGAAGATAGAAAATAAAAATACATCAACGTCAACTCACGATAATTGTATATCTTTTTTTAAAAGGGGTAGATCCCGTTTAATATAAAAAAAAAACCATACTGACCTCTCTTTCATTATTTCCATAACTAATTCCGAGATTTGGCATTGACCGTAAAATAGCTACCAAGGATTGTATCGTATTGCTGTAGACCACCGGCCGATATTGCTTATGGTCCTCTGGTGTAAATCCACTTTCGTGGATAATTCTGAAAACAAAATAACATTATTAGCTTGAGTAGAAAAGTAAACAAGATATTCGAAATTGGGACAAGGTTAGAATACAATATTTTGTGTTTAATGGCAATAAAAATCCATAAGATAAATCCATAACATGTACTGGGAGATCTATAGATTGCTAATAATTTAAATGATTTGTTCAATTTATGGATAACTAGTTTTAATGCGTTTATATTGTTTAGAGATATGATTTTATAGTTGTATGTCAAATTGTTTTTAATATATACGACTACCCTATCTACTCTGTTTAAATTTCCCTCTGAATAGATAAGATTATAACCAGGTAAAGAGAACATTTCAGGGTTATAAAGTTTCCGTTAACACATAACAATCAAACGCCTTATTAAAACCTGCAACCATTACCTGCAATTCATCTAAATGTGCATTTAGACTTTGTATATTATTATGAAAAATAATATTATGGCAAGCAGTTGTAAGAAGGTAAAGACATACCAATTTCATTTGGAATGGGAAGAACAATACTTTTTTACAGAAGTTAAAGATAAAAATGTGTGTTTGTTATGTAATACTTCGGTCTCCGTTGCTAAAAAAGGAAATATTGAGAGACATCAAAAAACTGTACATTCTAATTTTGAAAAATCATTCCCACCACATTCTGCCGCCAGAAAGTAGAAACTGAAACAGTTAAAAAAGCAGTTAATTGGACAACAATCAATATTTTTAAGAACAGTCGACAAAAATAAGGCTGCAACTGAAGCATCGTATCGTGTGTCCCAGATAATTGCACAAAAAAAGAAACCTTATGAAGACGGGGAAATGATAAAACAGGTGTTTTTAGAAGCTGCTGATTCGTTATTTGCCAACTTTAGAAATAAAGACGAGATAGTTTCAGCTATAAAATCTATGTAACTTTCTGCTAATACAGTGATGAGACGTGTATAAGTAATGAGCAATGATATTTTTTTACAGTTAAGAACTGACTTAGATAACTGTGTTTATTTTTCACTTCAACTGGATGAATCAACAGATGTCGTTGACACTGCCCAGATGGCCGTGTTCGTCAGGATGGTTTTTAGTGATTTTACGATTAAAGAAGATCTTTTGAAGTTTATTCCACTGAAAGGACACACTACTGGACAGGAGTTGTTTTCTCATTTAAAAAATATTATTTCTTTCGAGAAAATTCCAATATCGAAAATGGTAGGCTTGACAACCGATGGCGCTCCAGCTATGGTGGGTTGTGATAAGGGTCTGGTGGCGTTATGTCGTAAAGATGAAACTTTTCCGCAATTTCTCTGTTACCACTGCATTTTCCATCAGCAAGCATTATGTGGAAATTTCCTGAAACTAAACAACGTTATGAAACTGGTGGTAAAAATTGTGAACGAGATTAGAGCTCAAGCGTTACAAAGAAGATTATTCAAAACCTTGGGCGATGAAGTTGACTGTCAATACGGGGACCTACTCCTTCACTCTGAAGTCCGATGGTTAAGTAGAGGACGGGTGCTGAAACGTTTTAATGATGTCCTATCTGGCATAGTTCAATTTTACAAACAACGCGATGAACCGACTCCGGAACTAGAAAATTCAATCTGGCTTAGAGATTTTGGTTTTCTCTTGGACATTACAGAGAAATTAAACGAACTTAATTTGCAGCTTCAGGGCAGAGACAAAGAACTAGCGGAAATGATTTCTGATATAAAAGCATTTATCAAAAAGCTGGAGTTTTGGGAACAAAACCTAATTAACAGCGATGCCAAGCATTTTCAGAAAAAAATATCTCAAAATCCATTAGAACCCTATGACAGCAAATATCATGTAGAAATAGTTTCTACCTTGAAGAATAACTCCAAAAATCGTTTTAAGGATTTCGACGAAATGGCTTTAGTAGCGCAGTTTGTTGTTTCTCCCTTTATGGAAATTGATATCCAACAGTTTGCAACTTGTGTTATGCAGAACTTTGGCGAAGACATCGCAGAAATGGAAGTAATTGAGTTTTAAAATGATTTAGCCTTAAAATCGTTAGTCTCAAGTACCAAATGTATCTGGCCTATTGTAAGTAAAGACAAATATTCAGTTCTATGCCGTGTTGCCTTGAAAGTGAAAGCATTATTCAGTTCAACTTATTTGTGTGAATCTTCTTTTTCCAATATGAAGTTTATTAAGAACAAATATCGCAATCGACTTACAGATGAACATTTGGATAATTGTATTCGAATGGCTGTATCAAATTATACTGCAAACATTAAAAAAATTATCGATGAGTCTGAGTGTCAGCCTTCTCATTGAACGTGCTTTTTTATGTTTCAATGTTTATGTTCATGATAGTGCGTTACTTTTTTGTTGTTATTATTAACTATTTTTAAATCTTACGTGACATGCCGTTGTGGCTGGATAAAAGTTTGTGTTTATTTTTCAAACACCTTCGTTTGGTAGGTAGGAATATAGCTGTGAACAAGTACGTACTAGTAATATTAGTTATTTTGTTATTAATTTATTATTAGTACCGATGTATTATGTATTACCAGTTAAATAGTAAAATAAATACATATAATGATAAATTAACTGTGGATTATTTCATTTACGTTGTGTTACGTGGCTTCCGTGTGGGTAGCTCGCTGTTTATTCCAAAATTAACAAAGTAGCTCAACACATTGAGAGGTTGGTCTTTTAATATAGACCAGTGGTAATCGTATCAATACTATTTTCAATTCTAATTAAGCAAAATTGTCCCTTCGTTTTTATTGAAGGTCACCGGTTTGAACCTGTCTCGATTTCTACCTTTGGAGCAGGTTAAAAGACCTTGTTTTTTGAATGAGGCATACGACAAGAGAAAAGATTTGCCGCCTCGGACAAAAATGTCCGGTTTGTCCGGCTTTGGAGCGAACCCTGCTTTATAACTCTATCGCTGACTGTTTACAAAAAATATGACGGTTTTTTCGGGATTATACTGCGATGATGTCTGAAATATAGTGACCGGTTGATCCAACACGTAGAAATGAAACAAAAAGCAAGCTAACTAAAGCTTTTTAAATCCTTTCTAAAGCTTATTTTGATGTAGGTCGTTTTCTGCAAATCTCTCAATGCCCATCGATCAAGTAGTTACATATTTTATAATTAAAGATTGCAAACTAATTTAGATTCTTTTGCAAGACGATCTTGATGAAATAAATGGCTAATTAGATAGTTCCTACTAGAAAATAAAAAAAAAACTCAGTTTAATCCATTGCAAAAATGCAATAAAATTGACAATTCGATTCTTCCTTCGTCAAATATTCTATTATACAAAATCAATATCAGTAATGCTAAATTACATGTCTTGTAGTACACTATTCGAACGAAAACCAAGCATATTGCTTTACATAAAATATGATTTCATACAAACGAAACGTTGCTTTGAACTCTTATAACGTATTTATTTTATCCAAGTAAATGACGTCTTGACAGAGGTAGATAATATTACGTTATTTACTTTAATAACCAACTTATTTCTACAACCATTAAATAATATACATATCTGTAAAGGAAAGGAAAACTACAATTTTTATTGTTATTGAAAACAGGGGCAAAAGCGAGTAGTTTCGATCAGTGACCATCATTAGGCTTGTATGTTGATTATAAGTAAAAACATGGAATACAAAGAAGGGATTTATTAAGTTATACCGTAAATAAATTGAATAATCTGCTACAAATAAACATAGATAAAAAAGACATTAATAACGTATACACTATTGGTAAAACAGAAGAAAACAAACCAATTATTATCATACAATTTATACATTACTAGACCATAACGAATATCTACGGCAACTGCAAACTTCTGAAAGGAACCAAAATTAGAATTTCTGAAATCCTGACAACAGAAGAACGACAGGAACAAAAAGTGCTGGTACAATATAGGTTTGTTTTGGTTCACGTTCTAGAATTGTTCCAGAACCATGCGCAGAACTATTGCGCAATGGTCCTTAATTCTGAACAGTTCTGTAACCATTCCATTGTATTCGAAACCAAAACACTGCCAGAACAGTTTGACGTCAAAGAGTAAATTATAAATAAAAAAGAAGAAATAACACAGGGTCAGTGTCTAGGTAAGAAAGAGGCCACATAATATAGTAAAACGTAGATAAATTAAATAATAAATTCGTAAAAAATCTTATGACTCAACATCACATACTTTGATTACTATACGAGGCAAGAGAGAGGTCCGACACGCCCAACATAGGGCGCGGCCATTTTGAACCCTGTGACACAGTTTACAGCTAAAGAATCAGATCGCTCACTCTGCGTCGGCAAATGATTTCTGATATAAAAGCTGGAGTTTTGGGAAGAAAACCTAATTAACAGCAATGCCAAGCATTTTCAGAAAAAAATATCTCAAAATCTATTAGAACCCTATGACAGCAAATATCATGTAGAAATAGTTTCTACCCTGAAGAATAACTTCAAAAATCGTTTTAAGGATTTCGACGAAATGGCTTTAGTAGCGCAGTTTGTTGTTTCACCCTTTATGGAAATTGATATCCAACAGTTTGCAACTTGTGTTATGCAGAACTTTGGCGAAGACATCGCTGCAACAGAAATGGAAGTAATTGAGTTTCAAAATGATTTAGCCTTAAAATCGTTAGTCTCAAGTACCAAATGTATCTGGCCTATTGTAGTAAAGACAAATATTCAGTTCTATGCCGTGTTGCCTTGAAAGTGAAAGCATTATTCAGTTCAACCTATTTGTGTGAATCTTCTTTTTTCAATATGAAGTTTATTAAGAACAAATATCGCAATCGACTTACAGATGAACATTTGGATAATTGTATTCGAATGGCTGTATCAAATTATACTGCAAACATTAAAAAAATTATCGATGAGTCTGAGTGTCAGCCTTCTCATTGAACGTGCTTTTTTATGTTTCAATGTTTATGTTCATGATAGTGCGTTACTTTTTTGTTGTTATTATTAACTATTTTTAAATCTTACGTGACATGCCGTTGTGGCTGGATAAAAGTTTGTGTAGGTAGGAATATAGCTGTGAACAAGTACGTACTAGTAATATTAGTTATTTTGTTATTAGTTTATTATTAGTACCTATGTATTATGTATTACCAGTTAAATAGTAAAATAAATACATATAATGATAAATTAACTGTGGATTATTTCATTTACGTTGCGTTACGTGGCTTCCGTGTGGGTAGCTCGCTGTACAAAGTAGCTCAACACATTGAGAGGTTGGCGACCACTGATCTAGACTAACTAGAGTTGAGGGTGACATCTACATACCAAATTTTTCATTAATATCATCCCCCTCCTCTTCTTTCTCCTCCAATTATATAGGGTCACTTGGGGTAAGAGCGCGTTGTTTGAGGTAAATGTATTAATAAAAATCTAAATAACAATATTCTAAATAATTACACGAAAAAATTCCATTTTAGTTGGATCAACAAAATTTTAAAAATATATTACTAATATTTATCATATATATAAATGCCAATTGTTTGTTTTATTCAATTGTGCCATAAACGTTGAAATGGTAATCTTAATAAAGTCTCATCTTTTAAAAAAATATTTGAAATAACTACTTGTGTGCATTTAAATAACACAAATTATAAAAAATGCGACATTTCTTTCCCAACAATTAATGGTTAGTTATCTTTTATTAAATACAATTTTATAAATAATCTAGTCAAAATTAGAATTGCGGAACCTCGCTCCGCTCGGCGCTCGTCTCCACAAATATTCACTAGTGATAAAAAATTAGGCATTTCTAAACTGCTATTTTAATAGTAAATACTTATATTGCATTGGATTTATTTTTTAATATAATGAGAAGTGTTTTGAAATATCGCAATTTAATGCCCTGTATCTTGAAAACTAAAAGGACTATGAAAATTTTGTTAACACCATCTTTAGTTTTATGAAAAAGTAACACAGTGTCACGAAAACCGCAACGGATATACCCCGCAAAGGCACATCCCATCTTTTAATGTTAATTTCCTTGTTTTATTAGGTAGATTTGTCTAGCTTTTGTTGTGTAAAGACGTATGTTATTTTAAATCAATAAAATTGTTTTTAAACACCCTGAATCAGTTTCAAAATACTTATTTACGGTGTTTGATTATCGATTAATCAACTAAAAGTATAAGAAATTATTACCTCATAATATCTGGATAATCTTATTCTTATTTTTAAATTTTTCTCACCCATATACATATGATAAATGATAAAAAAACTTAATTCATTTATATTCTACAAGCACTATCTACCCTAGTCTCTTAAAATATTAATATCTACCGACAACGCATATTCAATTTTCAGATTTTTTCCTAAAGATAAGGTTCCTTCTGGTTATTGATCAGAAAGAGCAGCCGGGCGGCGCGTCGCGCGACATTTATCAACACGTTACGTCACAGCCTCTCAGAGGATGCTTGCCTTTTAAAATTTCGAAAGCTGTCATAAAAATGAGAGATATGTTAAAATTATTCCCTGGAGGGTTTAAAGTGAAGCATCAAAAATGTCTGACTCGCGGAAAGAAGTTTAATAATACAAAGGGTGTGGTTTCTCAAATAGAAATCTATTTTATATTACCTATACAGGGTGGTTCATTATAAAACGGATATAAGTTAACGTAGAATAGAAGTTCTTAGGTGATTTTTAATAATAGATTGTAATGAATGATATTACAAATGTTATGTATGTCGTCTAGATCTTTATAAATATTAATAATTTTCTAATAAAACTAGAAAGCAGAGATAAAGAAGAAAAACTTACTTCATTTGTTTGACTATCGTACTCTTCCCCGATTCCCCCGCACCTGAAACAAAAAAAAAGAATTAGGTATTAGAAAAACAGTCAGTATCAATTATTTTGAATAAATTTTAGATACATGGGCGATTCTCGTGTAATTGCGATTTTTACAACTTTCTACACGGAAAAAAATGTGACTAGAAAATTTTACTACAATGTTGTAGTAGTAGACTTGTAGAAAAATACTTAACAATTTGTAGAAAATTTTACTACAATTTATAGTTAAAAACTATTAATTATTGTAGCAATTGAATTGTCGAATAAAATGCTACAACAATAGGAAAGAAGTCCACAATGTTTAGTATATTTTACTATTGTTTGTAGAAGTAGAAATTTATTACAATTATCGTAATTACTACTATTAACTTCTGTAAAAATTTGTACAAATATTAATAATTATCTCTACAAAAAATAGTAATTTTCTCTACAAAAAATAGTAATACTTTACATCCCTTCTTCAAAAATATTCTATAATATTGTAGAAATTCTAAGTCATGTGAACAAAACAGAATTCTGCTATTGGCCAACGTTTTCTGACGTCGATCATAAACGGCCAGACAGCAGTAGCCGTTTGCCATGTTCACATAACAATAAAGCATGGTACATAGTACATATACGAGTACCTATTATACACATTATAATATTATAAGCACCGATGCGTTTGAGAAAATTTTAATAATAAATTCTATTGGTGGTAAGTACATTTATTATTGTTTCTGAATAATTTACCTTTAGATAACTAATTTAAATAACCTTAGTAGATTATTTTAAAAAAATAGTTGTGGCCAACTATCGAATGTTGTGCCCAACGATTGAATTTTGTGCCAAGTTTAATGGTGTTTTTTGTCTTAATTGTGACATACCTACTTTCTCATTTTTGTTAGTTATCTGACATAGTCATTTAATATCCAAATCAGTGTAAAGGTGATAAATATCCCCGTTTTAAGGGTATAAACAATTTAATTGGTATTAATTTTTATTTCATATTTTTCAGGTGCAGAAAAGCCAACTGAGACTGAGGGCGCTATTATTACTGTTATTTATTACATAATGTAATTAAGAATTTGTATCTTCTATATTAAAACAATAAATTGAATATTTTATTAAGGAACATTTTTTTCTAGGTTATAATTATAATAATTATGGAATACTACTACAAATTTTATTAAAAATTACTACAATTTGTATGAATTTTTACTATTTATTGTGTAAAATTTTCGTATTTATTTTCATAAAACGCAATACATTTTTAATATAAATTCATACAATGAATAGCAAAAATTATAACAATTTGTAGAACAATTCTTATGATGCATTTGGATCTTTTTACTAAATATTGTAGATAATAACTCTACAATACATTCTCCGCAAATATTTGGAAATTTTTACTACAAATTGTCCCTGTCCCTATATGTACTATTTATTGTAGAGAAAAAATCTACAATTGTAGAAATTTGTTCTACAAATTTTTTTCCGTGTAAAATTAAAAATGTTTTAAAAACGTTTTTGTTTTCTATTTATGCACAGAAATAAGCCTGTAAAGTGGTTCTACTATAGCTACAACACAACGAAATATGTGACAAAATTTCAAAATTTTAATGCCACGGTACTGGCACTAGATTCAATATGTTTCTTTATTTTTTTATTCAGGGTTATATTGACTATCACCACAACTAGGGTGGGCGTTGAAATATATAATTTCTTTTTTTTATGTTGTAAATAGTTTAAAACAATATATGTGTCAATGTTAACTTGCCGTATTACTGGTTACTAATTCCATACTTTATTTCCCCCTTGTATTTCAGCTAGTGATAAATTATGTACCAGCCCAAGCAACGATTAAAGCCCGTTACTTGTGACCTGTGTCTAAGTGACCTTTGACCCCTGGGATTTTTCATCTCCATCTGTAGCTACCCGAGTACTTTCGACGCCGTTTCGAGAGTGTGGAGTAAACCATAACCAAAAATCTGGTGCTCGAGAACCACCCCTAACCAGAGTCATTCGTAAGGAATCGTTTTCTCTGTGGCGAGAAAACCCCTTACATCACTAATGAACTCACTAGGCGAAATATTCTCAAATTTGCGTTCAGATGAACGAATATATTTCATATCCATTATACCTAGTAAGAACATTGCAAAACAATTTAATCCGCCAATCACGGTTACTATTTTTTAAATTTTAAATGAGTGACAATTCTGTCAAACTAACTATTGCCTGTTTTTTCAGTTACAAGTGTTTTTAAAAATGCATTTTACACCGCTTTATAAGATTCATCTAATTTTTAACACCAATAATAAACACTAAAAACGTATTTAATAAAATGTATTCCAGAAATATTATTTCATATACTTTTCTGTTTTACATAGAGTTCGTATTTTTATACATAAAAATCAATATAATGCGATAATTCACTATTCGAGTGGTATGTTATCTATTTTTATCTACACTTAAAAGTGTACGCTGCTTTTATATTTAGTATCATCCGACAAAAGGAACCAACCACTTAATGCATATGAGGCCTACTTCAACCAAACGCCGTGATTGATTTGAACATGACGCAAAATTATTATTAGTAACCTGTATATTATTTAAGCAAAGTATGCACCCCGAAGTAACGTGACATAGTATTAACAAGGCATAAAAGCACGATACTGATATGGCAATGAGGCAGTGGCATAGCATGACAATAATAATTTAAGTGCACACCGATATCGTAGTGAAGTAATAAAAACATGTTGCAGATGAAAAATAATATAAAATTAAAAAATATAATTAGTAATTATATTAAATGAAAGGGTAGGGAAGAAAAGGGTCGGGCCAACGACGGGCCCAGGTTCGTTAGATTGTGTCTTATATCACACAGTAAAAATATGTATCTATGTGTAAGGAACTGGAGTTATTAGAGAAGATCTTACACCATTACGAGTAAAATTTTTGTCTGAAGCAATTAGAAAAACTTCATTAAATGATGATGATGGATATATTTTTTCTGTAAATATTAATGTAGGTATAGTTCAATTTTTTCATTTGCTTTTTTGTGTTTCATTGACAAGACCTAGTAAATAACAGAACATTTATTAATTGACCTACAAGAATGTTATGTTAGAATGGATATGAAATATATTCGTTCAGTTGAACATAATAGCATACTTTTTCGTTTTGTAAGCTTTTCCACATTCAAAACTAACTATAAACTTGACGTTTTTCACGAATTGCTATAATTTGATATTATTGGCGCACACATGCCTTTTGTAATTTGTGTGAATTGGTTATCTTAAATGACTATCATATAGTAAACAAAAAAGACGACATTTGCCACTTTTTACAGTCAGAAGAGAGTTTATATGTGAAATAACTTAGATCTTAAACACAGTGCGGAATTATAAAAGTATAAATTTTACAATATTTTATAAAATTACTTTAACTACGACACTGCAAAATGACTAAAAATTAAGATTTTACTTTCTATTTATGATAAGAAACCGCTATTTCCTTTGACCTCCAATTTAAAATGATATAATTCAAATATTATAAGACAATTATGTTAAACTGCAAACTTTTCTGATTTAAAAGTAATGAACTAAATATTATACTGTTTCTTTTATTGTGCTAAAGTCTATTTTTATGTATGAGAGAGTAATAAAATATAAAATAGCATTTCTATTGCAAAACTTAGTACGGTCATTTTAAATATTTTTACAGAATAATCTAAATATTTCCTAAAATTGTAATAAATGTACTGAGCTATTACAAGTTTTGGGTCTTTTATTGGTCCTTTATAAACATAAGCTATACAGAACAATATAAAAAGGTTTGAACAGGCCAAAAGCCTTGTGTATTAAAGATTACATAGCCGTATCTTAAGATTATTTTCAATAAGTACCTATTTGCCAATTTTGTTATATTTTAATTCCAAGAATTTCTTACAGTAATCGAATTATAAGTAGATAAATACCTTCCCAACAAATTTCACCGCAAATGCGATTATAGGTTTTCCATTTAGTAAGGAGGTCCAAGTTGTGTATTCTTGACAGTTTACTAAATGTCGTTTAGTTGCAACTTGCAAGGTGCAGTGTGAATTCTAGTGTGATCATGGAAAATTTGGAAGGTCCGCGTAAACGACAAAAAATCGGTCCTTTAACAGTTAATGAAAAAACATTAATATTTAATTGTTTTAAATCATTTACAGACAAACATTTATGTAAAAGTGTTGATGACAAAGTGGAATTAGTTAGCAGTACGCTTGGTGTTGGGAAATCTACGATTTACAGAGTTGTTAAAGAAGACAAATCTGGCGAGTTTCAAACAGCACGTAAAGCTCCAAGAAAACCAAAATTTCAATTAGAAAATCTTTTGAAAGAAAGACTTCGAAGGAAAGTACATGCGTTCTTCTTTAGAAAAGAATTTCCGACAGTAGACAAAGTTCTTGCCACGGTTCGAGATGATAAGGATTACCCTGAAAAGAGTCGAAGCACACTATGGAAACTTTTAAAAGAAATAGGTTTTCTATGGAAAAAGCATTCCAGAAAGTCTATTTTAATAGAAAGAAGCGATATTGTAGTATGGAGAAGAAATTACCAAAGGACTATAAAAGAAATGAGAAACCAAAGAAGAAATATACAGTGCGTCCATAAAGTAACGCATAAATTCATTATTGGCTAAATGAACAATAAAATTAGGAATTCCCAAAACAGGTCGATTTTTGATTTCAATTTACTATTGTTTCAAATCATAATCTAATATACAGGGTGAACCACTTTCGTGTAATGACGTCGTCACCATTTTTTTCAAATGAAACCCCCCTTTTTTTTCAATTTCCAAATTGCCTTTGCTGAGCTGATTCCAAAAATGTATAATATGTTGCTTCAAATTGGTACAGGGTGGGCAAAAATGCAAAAATTTACTTACAAAGTAATGAAAATAACGAATAAACGTAATAAACACATTAAATGAAATTACGTATTGTTATTACAACTACTTTGATAAACTATCAAGAACATACAGCAT